GTGCAGCATCACTGGCCCATGTGGGAATCAAACCGGCGACCCTGTTGCTCAGAGCTCACGCTCTTAAGCTAACTCTTAACCAACTGAGCCACTCGGCCGGCCCGAAGGTACACGTTTTTGAATGGGTTCATGCTTTGCTGCTTTTTTTTTTTCCTGTTTCACTGACACAGAAAATCCTTTAGTTACAAGCTTTCTAGTGGGATGTGCTCTAGGAAGAGAAGGGTTAGAGCTTAAAACAGGCACGTAAGGCCACAATGCCTGATTTGGGTTCTTACACAGGACCTTCTGTAAAGCCCTATCTTCCTGAGCTAGAGAGGTGAAATACACTTTTCTCATCTCCTAAGACTGTTTTTCTCAGGTCAGGAGCAGCACACACACACAGAGACACCTGTCAATCTTTCATCTTTCCTTATTTCCAATCCTCAGCGCCTGATGTGTGAAGATAGCAATACATCTTGCTGAACCCAGAATCACACATTCTCTACAAATGCTTGTCTCAGGTTTGAGGTTTCCAGAAGAATTCAACTTCTGATTCCATGGAGACAGTGCTAGAGGTTGCAAAGCATTCTGAAAGGCTTGCCATGTTTGGAAGAGCTCTCCACTGACCTCTGGAGGGCAGGTCTTTCTCTAGGTTCTCTATCTATCTGGAAAAGAGGGAGAGCTCACTTTGTGATAGGCCTTATGCTTTACATGTTATCTTATTTAAACCACACAGAGTCCTGCCAGATGGGTAAACAAGCTCAGAGAGCTGCAGTAATTTTGCCAAGGTGCCACAGCAAGCAAGGGGAGAGCCAGGATTCAAAACCAAGCCTAGATTTCCCTCTTTCCACCAGACACTCTTGCTTCAAATACTGAGATTTTTCCCTTGCTTTCTTTCCTTTTTGCTCTCCGATTTGAGGTCATAGCCTGTCCTCATCCCATGAAGCGAAACAAAATAATTGCTGACAGGAATGGATCCAAAAGACCCAGCTAACTTTGGAAAACACCAGCGAGGCTGCCATCAGCTCTGTTTTATGAGGCTATGGTGATGTTGGGAATCACTCTAAAGAAAGAAGGCAGAAATATCTCATCTTTGCTGTAACTTGCCAAAGTTGATGCAGTTTTCAGGGTTGGGTGCCAAGTCGTGGGCATC